ACATCTTATTCATCCCACAATGGATGTAATAAATTAGATATCTTTTCTTCTCTTTTTTACGTGTTTTTAGGAAATCTATTTTTTTTTCTTCTTTGAAAACAGTTTTGAGTTAAATTTTTAATACGAGTATATTTTTGATATCTATATTATAATTTTCCGATGTCCTCATTACGTCATCGTGACGTCATGTCATCGCTACTTCATGTCATCGCTACGTCATGTCATCGCTACGTCATGTCATCGGTACGTATTTTTTTTTATTTTTTTTATTTGTTGATTTTATTTATTTATTTTATACAAATAGATGAATGGAATTTAGAGAATTGATGGTGTACACATACCTATCATGGATTGAGAGATTTGAAAAATCGTCTTTGAATTGATATAAACAATATTCCCTCAACTTTCTAAATATGAATGAAATAAATGATGTGATTTAAAAAGATTCAAGCTAATATTTCACTTAATCCTTTCTTTATTTTTTAGATTACCTTATCAATTTTCATCTCATATTATCAATTACACATTAATGAAATCTCTACAAGATACTCAACTTGTATATTTATTTTGAACATACTCACAATTTTTGTCAGTACTTACATTACAATTTTTTATACTCATATTTTTTTTTCATAACCAATAATTAAGAAGATAATCAAGTATATTTAAATATTCTTATCCTAACCTTTTTATAATCTCCAATCCTTATAAATAACTGTTTCTTTATTTTTTTCCCCTCCCTTAATAAATTTATTTATCACTAAATTTTATTATCTCATTCTTTTCTTTCTATCTCTATTATCTATTAACCACTATTTCTCAAAACCTTATCAATTCCTTTAATTTAATTTTTATCATTTTTATATTATAATAATTTATACCTTCTTTTTCCCCCCTTTTTTAATCTTATTTTTTAATTACCTTACAATTAATTAACCTTAATCTTAATAACATTAAATTAATCATGTTATTTTTTAACTTTTAGAATATCATAATAGGCTTGATAAGTCCCCCAAAAATTTATTTTGATGATAGCCCTCCAACTACTAGAAATATGCATCTAATATTGACCCATCTACCGGTTTTACATTATTTTAATGTTTGTTTAATTTCAACAATAGTTTATTTATATTTTTGCCTGATTTCTTTATTTGTCTAAGCTAACCCTAATCCCTCACATTGCTACAAAACATGATGAATCTATTATTAAAGATAAGCAAAAAAAATAATGACGATTAAACAAACGCCTTACCCGTTCTAGAGTTACTGGTAGACAAATAAAGAACTACGCTTGAAATAAACTCATCTGGAGGTTTATTTTATTTTTTTTTTATCTTATGTTTTATATTTATGTTTATTTTATTTTCACCCAGTTCTCCAAATGATATTTCTATCACCACTACCATAATCCCTATGCCACCTTCGCCTATTTTTTAACAAATATAAACATTTAATTCTGTACTATCATTCACTTCACTAGGAGTTAATATAAATATTACTTTATCCGATTCTCTGAGAAACTTTCATGAATATTTAGAGGGATTCAAACTTGAATGTACAGTACAGCCAATTTCATCAACTTTATTAATGGAAAAATATGCAGTAGTTCTGTCGTGGCCTTTATAACAATACTTAGGACCGTCTTATGGTTGAGTTAACATTGTCGTTCATGATTCTATTTTAGAAGGGGATACCAATGCTGACATTGACAGAAATATCGTTTTGCGTGTTCAAACTTGGATGTACAGTACAGCCAATTTCATCAACTTTATTAATGGAAAAATATGCAGTAGTTCTGTCGTGGCCTTTATAACAATATTTACGACCCTTTTATGGTTGAGTTAACATTGTCGTTCATGATTCTATTTTAGAGGGGGATACAAATGCTGACATTGACAGAAATATCGTTTGCGTTCTTCTTTTACCAGTATCCCAATGCATAGGCATATCATCTTTATCAGGACGCAATATGTTTTGTACACTGCTTTGTTAATCCATCATTACTTTCATCTACAACCCTAAATGATATAAAATTATACATTAATTATTTCCTCTCCAAACGACCGCCCAGATTTATTTTGTCACTTTTTCCATCAAAAATTAAAATGTCAACAAGAATTTGCTCTTAATTTTATCAAATACATAATAAATAATCCTCATTATTTTTAAAAAAATTATCCTAAATTTATATGTCAATAAAAAAAATATATAAATAATTTGCATATAAGTTTCATTAGTGTTTAATGGCATTTTTGTAATTTAAATAGACAGCATTTTTTTTACTTAACATAAAAAAATATATATCCCTTATCAAATTCTTTGACAAATAATTTCAGAAATGCAAGACATACATTAAATTTATCTGAAAAACAACAATAACCCTATATAATAAACAACATATTTTTTAGATATAATTTTAATTGATCATATTACAAAAAAGTATAATAGTCGGTTATTTTTATTTTATTTGTCATGATTCTCTAATAAGTAGTTGCCCAGGCCTTCCCAGTTTCCCTTAATACGGAATTTACATGTTTTTTTCCCATATTAGATTAATTGGTAAATCAGATATTTCCCGTTCATGTGATGATATTAAAAATTTAACTATCTCCCAGTCGGGAAAAAAATTTTCAAAATTATAATGGGTAGGACTGGGCTTGGAAACTTAAAATTAATATTAGCTTGCACCTGACTTGGGAATATCTTTTACAAATTATAAAGGGTTGAGTGGGCTTGATAAACATTTTTATAATTATAAGATCTTGGATGCTTCCTAATATTGTGAGCTTAAACCTGGCATGACATATATAGTAAAAAATGAATAAAAATCTCATTCCCCGTCATTTTTGACGGGCTTTCTATTAGTTAGATATAATATACCAACTAGAGGTGGTGCGACAATAAAATATAAAAACTTAATTGCTTTCACCATATCACTCTCATTCTTTTTTTATAGTTACAATATATTTCATTTCCAATATGGCATCCTTGATATGCAAATAACTCAAGGCTTCAATACATTTGCATAATTTCTTCTAATATTTTTAGTGTTTTTGTTTTATCAATGTATCTAATAATAGTAAATTCTGATATGAGTTAACATCGTGTGTGTCATGGCTATCACTGCAAATTAACCAGCATCTATTATTTGTGTGGCTATGTAATATAATATTATTACTATAGCTGTTATGAGCATATTTTAGATAAGCAATAATGGTCAACTGTGTAGTCGTTTATATATCATTAAAAATGGAAGATAATCTTTTAAAAATATAATATCTCATAATAATTTTCTCGATTACTCATCTAGCTTCCATCATGTCATCTAATAGGAAGCTCTAACCACCATATAGTTTTATGATTTAGATTGGTCGTTTATATTCTCTTCTTCAAGAATTGTTAATTTGGTTAGGCCTATAAATTTTTCCTTATTGATCCATTCTATAAAACATTGTGTAAAATACAAAAATGTCATTGGTAAAATGGTAACAGAGAGTTATATTAATTTAATCATCTTTTGTCAATGTAAGTTGCTAAGAATTATATTACCTTATGTGGTTTTAAAACCATTATCAATTGAGACATGTGTATGAATTAATTAACCTTTTTTATCACTTGTCATTTTTTAGACTCAAAATTTTTTTATATCAGCGAAAAAATTTATACTTTATTAAATAGATTTTATATTAAAATTTTATATTTAGAAATATCTTGTATTGTTTTAATTATTTATATGCTAGTTTATTTTGTATGCATAATATGATAAATGACAAAATATGAAATTCAGAATAATTGTTCCAAGTTAGTAAACTTAAAAATGTATTATATATTAATATAAAACCCCAATGACATAGGGAGTATGGGGGGAGGATACCCCATAAATTTTTTTTTAGTTGAGCCCCCTGAGAATGTAAAGGCTAGCGAGGCCCTTGATCATTATCTTTTTGTATATATCTCATGATTGCATTTTGACTGTGTATTATGAATATAAAAGTATTCAATGTAATATTTTATGAAATTGGTAACCAATTTCATACATTTTAAATATTGACAATAAGTTGATTTTATTATAAAATATTTCCCCTTAATAAAATCCTGTATAAACCTATGCTAATAATAATGAATTTGAGTTTAAAATTATACAAAGCGATATTTTACCTTTCCCAGAATAAAAAAAAATGTCTTGCACGTATTATTTAATATAACATATTTATCTTTATCTAAATTCTAACCTCCATTTGAAAGAGGGAAGGTTTAAAGATTTCTTAAATTGAGGACACATCGATTTACTTTTATTTTATTATTGATAATTTCTTTTTGCTTCTAAAAGTTATATGTTTTATTTAATAATGTTATAATTTTTGTGTAAGAAAATTTTAAAAAATGAGCGATTTTTGTGGGAGATTTAAATCGTAGATTTGTGCAAGAGAGATTTGTTATGGCTTTGGAAAAAATTGCCAGTATCCTGCTGATGATGAGTGAGATCCGACAACCCTGTCTATGATACAATTGTGATTAAAATGCGTAATAAAGTTAGCCTTCCATCAGGCATTTATGACTATAGAAAAATTAAATACTCGCTAAAGAGAGCATATCTTTATTTAAATTACGATCCAATATAATCATATATAATAAATAATACACTGAATCACTATTTTATCTATAATTTCTAAACATCGCTGATGAGTGAGATCTGCCCTGTCTATGATACAATTGAGATTAAAATGCCTAATAAAGTTAGGCTTTCATCAGGCATTTATGACTATAGAAAAATTAAATACTGTTAAAGAGAGCATATCTTTATTTAAATTTCGATCCAATATAATCGCATATAATAAATAATACACTGAATCACTATTTTATCTATAATTTTTAATTAAATGGGAATATGACTAAGATTCATTAAAAAATAATTAAATATTTTGTCATGCCATTGATTGTAAGATACATTTATAAAATAATTTGTTGCACCATTGATAAATGTTAAATGATGGCGTCATGTTAAATGTGACAAATGTCAATATTTTTCATACATAATTTGAATAAATAAAACCTTATTTGAATAATGAAACACAATTTCCAAGTTTATCCCATTTAAAATAATCTATGATATTTTTTTAAGTTTCAAAATTTATTAGGAACAGCATATCGTAAAGGTAATATATTGTTTACCTCAGAGGGGGATAATTTAATTAGCCCAGTTGGCAATCGTATAACATTTTTATTACTCAAAAAGTAATTAATTATAAATAGATATGATAAATTTAATTATTATAGAAGTAAATCAGAAACGCTCTCCTTAGAGAGCTCTTTAAATATTACAACAATAGCATTATCACCTGATAATTCCATAATTATTGCTATTAATGAGGGTACATTGGTATACACTAATTATATCATAAATTTTTATAGAGGGAGATGCATATTTTTACAGTCTCATAAGTTATTCACTTATTCAAACATATTCATTTCTCTCATCCATTAAACAGATTAAATTTTCTCCTGATGGCAAGTAATTGCAATTTTTAATAAAACATGTTATACTTTTTTAAGACACTTTGCAATTACAAAAGAAAATATTGTTCAAGTCTATCACCTTCCTAATTGTACTGAAAAACAATTTAATCCATTGTCCTTATTAAAGACATACAATAAATCATATGAAGAAATATCATGCATTGATTGGGCAGATAACAATGGGTTTAAATTTATTGATTAAATATTTATCATTATTCTATATAGTTTTCTTGTTTGTGGAGCCATGGATTCTGTTATTAGATTTTTTACAACTAAATACTACCTTAACTTTGGTGGCAGTTTATCACTTACTGGTCATACAACTCCTATAGTTGCAATATTTTTCTTTGCAAACTCACTTAATGTAACATTATTTTTAATTTATATATTGTGCATTTTTTAAGAAACAATTAATATTTTTATATGTAATCATACATTTTGCCTTTATAAATATTTAAATAAATAACACTTTATTTGCTACCAAAACATTTCCATTTATATCAAAAATTGCCCAATCTCTTTTTCGATAGATCAACAGAAACCCAATGCAAAAATATAATATATTATCAGAGACCTGGATTATAGTCCAACTCTAGGAAATTGCCATTACAACAGTTGATTTATATAAATTTCTATTAGTCTATTTATAACCATATGACCTGGCATATTTGATAAGTTGTTAATAAAAATGATGTAAAAATAATTTTTTTTTACCCATATTTCAAAAATTTATATTTAACCCTATCTCTTTAACTATCTTACTCCTTGCTTTAGATGTTTATTTAATATTAATATATTTTATCCAATTTAAAGATATCTTCAGTTGTATATTCCTTAAGTTGAGCTATTATCCAAAGACCTGCAAGCTTGGCCCAGAATATCTCAAAAAATATGTTTTTAAAATTTGGGCTTCGCTTAAATATTTAAAAAAAAAATTGGGCAAGGCTAATTTAAAAAAAAATCATTTTGATAAAATCAATCAATGAAACATCTTTGATTTCCACAATTACCAAATTTATTGCATACTCAGATGAAAGGATTCTTAAAATGTGTAATTTTTTAATTAACAAAAGGTAATGAGTATCAGTACAAATGCTGTGATATATGTATGGGAATGTGATACTGACATCAACAATTTGAAATTAAACAAAGAAAAAAAGAGCTTCTGGGATGAAAACAAAAGTGAGAAAGATGAATTAGAGGAGACCAACGAGAAGAGTGGTTATAATGATGCTATGGAAGTCATTGAAAATATGAGTAAATAATATATATTTTTTTCTTCTCCATAGGAATTGATACAAATTAATTACAATTTTAGAATTTGCTATTTTAAACTTAATAAGGCATTTCCGTTTTAATTAACATCTTATTTAAATATATTCAAATTTGTATTATATCCAAAACTTAAATTATTCAATATATTTTCTTTTATATAAATTTTAGAAACCCTAAGGCATTTTCGTTTTAATTAACATCTTATTTATATATATTCAAATTTGTAGTATATCCAAAACTTAAATTATTCAATATATTTTCTTTTATATAAATTTTAGAAACCCTAGAGACTGTTCCTTTGCTCTACTACAAAAAAAGCAAAAAGTTACCTCCATTAAATATACTTTTTTAAGATTTATTATTATTTTTATAAAATGATGACCTTAATGACCAAATCTATAGCTGTGAACCTGCATAAGTTGGATTTTGTTGAACCTGAATCCATATTTTTATTTAACTTGATCTGGCTATATTTAAGATAATAATAAATGTTTATGAAAATAATTTATTTATTATATAATATATATAACTACTTTAGAATAAATTTAATATTATTTTTATATTTATTAAATGTCCTTATTAATTAATTAGATTAGGTTGCTTCATTGCAATTGATGTATAACTGATGTTTTAGGACTATTAATTTCTCTTTGCCTTACATTTAACTGATTTTGCTATTTATTAAGATGCTGCATTCTTTCCTCATCTTAATATGTAGGCATGGTGTCTCGAGTCTTATTTGATTGAATGCTGGGCATATATTCTGTCTCAATTTTTCATTTTATCTAAAAAAATATTTATATATTTTTTTATCATTTCTTATCTTCTCCAAATTATTTTTTTATACCACATCTTCAAAATAAATCAAACTTCACATGATACTTAATTATATTAATTTTAATAAAATTAAAATTTAGAATGGCTTGTAAAGGTAAAAACTTCTAGAGAATTTTTTACATTTAAAAAACTTCCTTCTCAAGGTTTTTTTAAAAATTTTACCAGAAATTGAACTTTTTTACATTTAAAAATATTTTTTAAACTAGAATGTTAGAGGTTACAGAATGATATATAATTTATGATTCTAGCAAAAATTAAATTTGTCTTTAAAGCATGTATCGATCTTGTTGAGCTAGTGCTCTGAATTACAATTTATAACATAGATAACTATTATAAGTATCGTTCCTTTCCTTTTAATGAGAATCGTTTGAAAAACTCGCTTTTATTTGTCATGGAATAACCCATATAGCATCGCTTATTGGCATTTCTAAGATTGGAAAGGGGGGGGGTTAATTAAAAGGTTAGATTTCCAGTGGGTTTACCTTATTTAGCAATTGAAGTGCTTTGATAGTCCTACAGAAATTTTTATCATGTTGTATTCGATATCAGTTTAATATACAAACTAGAGGTTGATGTCACATGGCCTAAAAGTGCAAGCCTATCAAGACAAAAATATTTTAATGTTAGGTCATACAACTTTTGCAAAATGATGCTCATTATTGATAAATAAATGTCTCTTTCTTTCAAAAATTATTATGGGCACAGCCTGGCAAGACATTTTGTACTAAGCATAATTGTTTTATGGACCAACAAAAAAAAATTATGAGCTATGCCGCTTTTTTTATTATTAATTTCTATAGCCCGGTTAACCCATGAAGAATATAGTTGTTTTCCCCACCTCGATTCCATGACAAATTTGAAGAGTAATTTTTTTTTTATAATACGAAGTGTATTTTAGGGAATTTATGGAAAATTCAAAAAATAATTTTTTTTACAAGATATAAATAGAGACCTGCAATGCCTAATTACAAACATGGCCATCTTTGGTATTGTTAGAAATACATGATGGCTAACTACAGATTATAAAAACTTGCATTGTTCTTATATGTACAAAATTTCCACATTATATAATATTATTTTAGAATATAAATTTGAATATAAAATAAAATAAGTTAGTAAAAATCGCGATATATTTTTATAAAGATCATAAGTAGAAAACGCGATATATTTTATAAAGGGTCGTTAGAATATTATAATTATTATAAGATGTTTTTATTAATATTATAATTTTTTTAAATTAATTTTGTAATTAATATTTTAATTATAATGTTTTCTCGAACTTGGTAGATTCACAAAGATGTTTAGGACGACGATGAATCACTATATAAAATTTACGAAGACACGCAATGAAGTTTATTGGTAAAGTATTAATAAATAGTCATGATCAAAATGATGATCATTAGCAAAAGATTAGTTATGGCAGAATACCGCTACATCTTATTAATAAAATATCTGACCATCTATGAGACTAGAAACATACGATGAAAACATTGGCGAAAACGTCCATAAAAGAAAATTTAGAGTCCATTTTTATTATAATGATTTAGATGATATTATAATGGTACGTCAATTGGTGCAAGGCTTGGAATGCATGAACGCCGACGGTAAAATATTCACTATCAACGCTCGTCAATACAAAAGGATATAGTTATCGTTACATTATATTTTTTTTATATAACACACATTCCATATAAATTACAATCATTAAATAAAATAAATAAATGAAGATGAAACAATTGGTAAACAATGATAATATCATAAACATTGAATTTACGTTATATTCAGGTAATGGAGACTTATTTTTTAAGAAGATTTGAGGATATTTTTAAAAATACACAAATTACAAATATCGATAAGGCTGGATCGTTCACCATGAGACTACCGGATGAAATATATAAAGCTCAAATCGATATGCTCACCCACAAAATTCATCATTCTCATCATTGTGAATCTACCAAGCTCAAGAAAACATTATCAGCTACCACCATGTTAGAAACATATGATGGCTAGCTATAAATTAAGAAAACATTTTATTAAATTAAAATGAAGAATTACATTGTGTTCTTATATGTTCAAAATTTCTACTTTATATAATATTATTTTAGAATATAAATTTGATTATAAAATAAATAAGTTAGTAAAAATCACGATATATTTTTTAAAGGTCATTTGAATATTAAAATTATTATAAATAATTTTAATTAATATTAAAATATTATTTTATTTTAATTAATATTAAAATATTATTTTATTTTTTTTAACATCTATAACAGGTTTCAAAAAATTTGGCTGGTCCTGCTGATCTCTAGATTTGAATTATACTTTAGTTTACTGGACTAATTAATTGATACCTATTTACTTATTTTTTTCTCAAATTGAAAATTTTGAAGAGAATCTATCTTTATTTAATGCTTTAACAAGTTGCTCATTAGTTTTTAGCAACTTTTTAGAATAAACAAGATCATTGTATTTAATTTTTTTGCTTAACATTTTAAATTATTAGTGGATAATTTGGAAATAATAGAAACACTTATCCTAAATATCACTTATTAAATTAAGCAAATGATATTAAGATCTAGGCTTCCCTTAACACTGCTTTTATGTCAAAAAATAATGCTCATAATTGAATGGTCTCATAAAATAAACCTTTTTCTTTTAAAGTAACCAATTTATTCATCTTATATAATAGTCTATTTTATTTTCCCCTATTTAGTTATACATTTCTTATTGTATAATATAAGGATCAAATTTTTTAGACAGAAACAATTCACTCCAATTTATTATTGATCGATAAGAGAAATCTTTTTTACTTCAAATTTTATATATATTCTTTTATTCATGCATATTATATTTACAAGGTTTCACTTCGATAAGCCTGCCGTGAACCAAAATCAAAAGGGACTTTTTGCCATCACGTGTGCCGCTTACAACAAGAATAACCGGATTTTAGCGACCGCCACCAACCTAGGCTTTTTCTATATCCACGAAATGCCCTATTTTAATCACATCCAATCATTGAGGTTTTTATATAATTTAAAAAAAGTCAACATTCTTTAAACCATCCTTGGCTCTTTTGATGAAGCATATGGGTTTAATCCCACAAACCTACAATCATGCTCTTTCCTTTTATGTCACATTTATTTTTACCACCAGGCCCTGAACCGGTATTTTTCTTAGGAAAATCATATGTATATATTTATATTCACTGTCCAGCAATTTGGTTTGCTCTTTGGCACTGTTTACTGTATTGGATGGGTACAAAAAAATCATGTTTAGGTTATTTGAATTTGCGGATTGATGATTGAAGTTAGAGTCATCTTAAGGATAAAATACATTTTTTTCAAAATCTTATTTGCTTAAAAAGGTAGCAAGATATAATTAATTTTTGTTATATTTGCAATAAAAGGATTTTAAAATATTTTACGAATCACATTGCCCTAATATTGAAAAAAACACATGATTCGTGATAATGCACTCACTATCGCCTTATGAGAAAATAAATTTTTTCAAATTTAAATAGTTTAAAATTAGTTATTTTTTACATATAAAATTTTTTATTACACTATTTTAAAGATAGCTGTTAAATAGTATTCTAAATTTCAAATTGTTGGCTAAAATAAGAAAGTTTTATTACAATATCGATTTAATTGAATAAATCACGATTCTTTTGATTTGAACAAATTTTTATAACAAAAATCTTTTAAAATATGTCTGGAAAACAATTGCGGAGGCAAAAAAAATTAAGGCTATTAAATTTCTAAATCAAAGTGCTTAAAGATTTAGTATTTCCAAAGGAATTGTTTTCAACATTCATAAATTCAAAGGTGACATTATCAAACGTTCTGCAAATAAAACATTTGTACCAAATAAATAAATAAAAATAACATCTTATTTTATTTCATAAAAGTTTATGTATACATAACATAGTTTTAATCATAATTTTGATGAATCATTTTATTATTTTAATTTTAATAAAGAAACTCGATTTAAACATCATGGTGACAGAAACTATCACAGTGTTGAAGTAACATTAAAAAATATATTTTTATAGAATTTTTCTTATGATATAAATAGACATTTAATTAGTAAAGAGACCAAATCCGTTATAAAAGAAACATGACTCAAATTTTGGCGGTGCCAGAAGAGATGTTTACAAGACAAGATAACAAGTATACTTCTATTTTGATAGCATCGAGGAGATGATGGCAGTATACGCTCTAATTCATGGCAAAAGATGCAAGGATGCTAATGGAGAGTGGTTTACCATCGACGCAGAGAGATATGAGAGAAATTAAGTGTTGTTAGTAAGTAGAGTCACCTAAATCAGAGTCTGTAGTCGAATTAGTAGACTCGTCTTGTCATAAACTTGAGTCGGAGTCGACTAGAGGACGAATATTTCGAATTAGTATTGTAGAATCATTTAACACATTTGGTCGACTAGAGGACGAGTATTTCAAATTAGTTTATTCACGGCTCAAGTTGGAAGCAGAGACCTTCATGGGCCTCAATTTTTTGACCAAGCCTGGCCCGGCTTATATCTAAGTTAAAAAAAATTCCCAAGCCCATGATAAGTTTAAAAAAAATTTCCCAAGCCCATTAAATTATTTAAAATGCTGAAGTAATACTAATAGAAATATAACATTTTATTTAGTATATATAAATATTAATAAATGATATAAACAAAATTTTAATTTATATTCAAATTATCATTTAAAAATAATATATTATCAACAATTTCATTATTTAAATTCTTCTCTCTTCGATAACTCTTCCAATAGTGCTGAAATTTCGTTCACTCGAAGCATTTGATGCTGGAATTGCATGAATTTTTTTTTGCCAATCTTGCTAATTTTGGCAAAATTTTTTTATGCTTCTTCCACCAATAGGATATGATCATCATAATTGATATCATCCTCCTTAAGCTTAATATCCAAATATAAATTAACCTCATCCGCATCAGTCTCATTATTAAACATTCTATCATCCTCCCATGAAGACATATCCATTAATGAGGATGAAACTAAACATATTATATTGCTAAAAAAATTCATAAAGAATAAATTACTTGTAGCTCTGGCATTACTCTTTGAAGTAGGGGCCTGCACTTCATCCAGATCTGAAGATGCACCTAAAAATATTATATAGATTAAAACATTTATAAAAAATATGTTACTTGTAGCTTTGGTGGCATTCCTTAAAGAAAGTAGGGTCAACGTCAAGTACTTCATCCAAATCATATATAGGTATAGGTTGATACTCCGAATAATCTTTCATTATCTCTCTAACAGAATTTTTTACATCTATTGCTTCTTCCAAAGCAAGGATTCTTAATTGGCGGAATTTTGGACTTAAAAATGTTTTTGTAGAGAATATCTAATTGAAATTTAGATATTAAAAATTCTTTAGCTCTTAATTTCAATTATAATTTCATTGTTATTTTGATGTGCATCATATAAAATATTACTCACTGGTAAATTTGCCAATTTTTTATATATTAATAAAACTTTAAATAATATAGGCTTTGTATCCCCTCAAGTTCTTTGGTTGTCTGATTATAAGGAGTCAACATTTCTATTCATGATTTCAATGCGTTTTTATCAATAGCATTTAACTTGTTTTCCATATTTCTTTTCTGTAAAGAATCTAAAATAACCTCATATTGTTCATATATGCTTTTGAACATTTTTAATTTTGAATTCCATCTTGTTTCAACATCTAAGTGATTTTGATAGATTTTTGTTATATCCACTTTGTTTAAAATATCTAGTTAGTATTTGCATTGTAGAATGAGGTTATATAATAAGGGTGTAGATATTTGCATATATTTTAGAGAAAAGGTATTTCTTAGAATAGTGATAATGAGATGAGCAGAACAGTTTAATCGTTTATATGATTCTAAAGCCTTTATCAAGTTGCAACCTTGATCAGTGATGAATGTGATTTTATAAAATGCATCAGAAGCATATCCAAGTTTTGTAAAATTAGAAACAAGTTCTTTGTGAATGTTTTCACTTGTTTTTTTTATCTTCTAAAAATAGAGAAATATACAAAATTAATTTCCATTTAATTATGTAGTGAAGAGTTAATGTTATATATGTGTACTTTTTAAAGTCATCTGTGTATAAATCAGTTGTTGCATTACAAAAATATTAAAGCATTTTGTACTTCTGGGAATATATTTTTGTGCAAATTTTTAGACATATCATTCATATGCCTAGATATAGTTATAGGAATTGGCAAAATATTTTCAACATCAATCAAACCCCTCTTTGACCAACTTCAATAAAATATTGTGCTAAAAAAGCCTTTAACAGCTATACATTGAAATGGGCGAATATCTATGGCACAAAATTTTGCACATCTCTTGATAACTTCCTTTTTTTCACTTTTATGATGCTTTATCATTTTTAATTGGATAAAAAAGAAGATAATTTAATTTTAGGATTTGGTTTACATTTATGCCTTGATAAATGAGTTGATCCTACTTTTTGTGAATATGAAAGTCTTGGCATGTTTTACATTGGACATATCCAATTTTAATATTATGATTGTCTATTATTATGCTAAAAGAATCCCAGACTTTGCTCTGTTGTTTTCAAATAATTTATATTCTTGAGAATGAAATTTTTTCACTATTTCATTTTTATTCATTATATCTAAAAAAAAAATAGAAAATACTACAATTTATTACAGAGGAGAAAGTCATAAGTAAAGTTGTAGTGAAATAATAAAAGAAGCCAGAACTATCAAAAAAATTGCACAGAATGCAGATTTATTTGGTGAAAATTTATTGGCCAGAAAAAATATAATGAATTTTTGCAATATGATGATGATAAAAAATCAAATTTGTATATTCTAAATATAAGTTGTTCTCAGGGTTTCGAACCGTTTAGTATAACGGTTCGGTTCGTTCCGGTTTTTAGTTTATAATTTTATAAAGGTTTTGTTCCATTTCGGTTTTAAAAAAAAATCATTTCGGTTCGGTTTATAATGGTTCTTTTCGGTTTGTTCCTGTTTTTATAAATTTAATTTAAAAAAAATTAATCATTAACCATGTATATATTAATTTTAGAGAAAAATCTTTTTAGTTTATAATTTCTTATTTAATTTATCCATGATAATCTAATGGATGTTTTTATTAAATTTAGGAAATATAAATTAGACAAATTAGTTTTTTTTTATTTCATAAATAAATAAGATAAAAACAAACATGCGTAAATACAATAATGAATAAAATAATATGTATACTATACTATTTAGGTTTAAAAAGAGAATTCGAACGGATAACTAAAATATTTTCTAATATTTCAGGATTTAATTTAGTTCTCTGCGCATAGAGTATAAACTTAAGGCTTGAAAATGCTCTTACTATGGAGACCTTAGCTGGAACTGCTAGCACAGTTATAGCTAACTTATAAAGTTCTGGCATACTATTCTTTACATTTTCCCAATAATTCAAAAGATTAGTATCTTTTTCTAATCTCTCTATATTATCAAATGACCGAATTATATATTCTATTTCTATACATTTATTATAATTTTCGATGCCCTGAGAATTATTCTTATTAAGACTTTCATGCGACTTTAATAAATCTTCAAAATTATCATCTAAATTATCCTTCGAATACGAACACGTAGGCATAGTATTTAGAATTTCAATATTCTGATTATTTAGATTTTGTATCAAGTTCCAAGTTTTACAAAGATGTTTTCTGGCGATCTCTCTTTCTTCAAAAGTTAAAAATACATTATATCTAGGGTCGAGATAAATAGCAGAGCAAAAAACTTCATTTTTGAAATTTATTTCTCGTGCTTTCATCGTAGAAACTAAAAGTCTGGCAAATGGAGTGTCTACTTTACTCGTTTGCATGAGACATTTGATCCACGCAGCATAAAAATCGCCCATTGTCAATTGTTCAATTTGTAAATATTTTGTCAAAACATAAGCTGGATATAAAGCTTTTAATATGTCACTAATTATTTTCCATTCATTCTCTGATAAACATTTTTCGCGATAGCT